CATTAAAAGGGGTGCCACATTAATGGGAAGTACATTAATGGGAAGTGATTTTAGGATAAGTTCAGGAATGGTGTTGGAGGCTCCTGGCCAGTACCTGGACCCCAAAAGCAGGTAACATCATGGCCCCAAACCCGGAAGGGCTTCATCAGGTCCACTTGCCCTCCTTTTGCTCTGCTTGAGCTGCAAAGCAATCTGCTTATAACATGTGACTTGCACAACTATGAGAATACACCGAAAACTATGTAGAACAGAGCTTTTTGGATCATTGTTTCGATTTGGGTTTTATTCTATCTACTTCTGAGGTTCAGGTCCACCATTTTCAGGAAGCTCCGCCGGTGCTTGCAGATCGAGCGGTTCCATGTCACGTCAATCACCGGCACATGCAGCAAAGCATGTCTGTGCCACCGGAACTGTGCTTTAACTTTTGACCACTGCAAAAAGGGTGCCTGCCGCAGTTTAGGATGTGGGGTTTTGAGTGTAATTAGGGCTGCTTCTTCGATAAGTAATGCACGTGGATGCGCTAATATGATCTTAATTAGTAAGATGCCAGACGAGAAGCTTCCACCTGCATATTATGGGGTTCCAGTCACATCAGGAAGCCATACCCAGATTCAACTGCGATTTCATTGGGACCCCATGTCATGTTCTGAGGAGAGATGAAGAGACCCTCACTATCGCAAAACTCTACGCTTCAACTTAGGATTGGGGATACGTGAATGTAGCAGCAAGTCAGGAGTCAGACTTGCATGTCAGAGCATGAGTTTCTCTTTCAGGCCTATGGGCCCTTGCAATCCCTGTATATCCCTTATTAAAGTCCAATGGAATTACTCCGTTTTGACCCTGCTAAAGCCAGGCTTGGGAACGGGCCGCAGCCCATTTAGGGTTATCTCGGTACGCGATGTCTTAATCTCAAGCTGGGCTGGATTGTATATTGCAGGGGCCGATAGGGGGGTCATGTAGGAGTTCCATCATCTCACCTGCTTCTTTTGAGGGTCGGTTGCATAAGGAAACGTGGAAGTGGCGTGTGTTGGGTGTTGTTTTGTTAGCGCCAACAACTGATATCCCACTGGAAGATCACGATGCAAGTGTGCCCCAAGCTTGTGGAGGTTGGCGCAGGCTCCCATTTGCTCATTTCTTCTCCCAGCCATTCCAAAGAGCTGCAGCAATCAGGCCAAGGCAGCTACACCAAGTAGAAAAGCGCCACCTATGGCTACAGGCACGCGCACGTGCAGGTGTCTACAGGAAAGAGCTGTGTGGTTCTGTAAGAAATGATGGGGCGGACCTGCCGCCCTGCCTGCTGGTGCTGGGGATGATGCTCGAAGGACAGCCACCTTCAGGTAGCGCTGCTGTGCTGTTCATTTGAGATCATTTGAGCATTTATGCCTTCTAATCGTCCTGCGGGGTCGTTCTGTCTGCTAGGCGGCCGCTGCATCCAGCTCGACCCACTGGCCAGATATTGCCGAAGACGAAAAGAAGGCCTGCAGACCGCAAATCCACCAAGCAAGGGACCTTAATATACTATAGTGATTTCCATTTTCCTTTCCATTATCCCCATATAAACCCCAATGTACTATAGTAGTGTCCATTATATTTTCCATTATGCATATATAGCCACCAGATACAGTAAACTACAGAGGCGTTGAGACAGGGACATCTCGCTTTCTTTTTTGCAGCCCAGCGCCGCAAGGATCTTGGCATTCATAGCATTGGGCTCAATAACCAGGAGTTTTGCCGAGATTAGCTTGGCGCACGTTGCGAGCAATGAAGCTGGCAGCTTTTAGTCCTGGGCATTTTTTTGTCCGCCTTTTCGTGCTCGTAGCATGGAGTGCCATTGTCGTTGCAGGCGCGTTGGTCGCATGGCCCTTCATGATGGAGCGTGGTTTTTCCTTGGACCCGGTCAGGGGTACAGACTATGACGTGAATGCTGCAACGTACAGCAAGTTCTTTGGAGCTGAAGGCGCAAGGGCAGCCCTGGTGCTGCGAGCAAAGCATGAGCCAATCTTTCCACTCATCACGATGTCAAGCGAGCCAACTTGCAGCCTTGTTCACAACCTCCAATTCGCAGGGGACAAGATCAAGCTTCAGTTCACTTGCCAGAATGAGACTGCCATGGGCAATGGATGCATCACGTTGTCGCAGCTTCACAAGCAAATCGTGTCGAAGGCTGAAGGGTTGCTTGAACACTTCATGCAACCAGATGCTGTTCACGATCTGATTCAGCAGCATGCGCGGGAGCCCAGCCAACTATGTTTTTCTCAGGTGGCATTTGCAGATTTGCGGTATCTATGTGCATCACAATCGCTAGGGCCATGCTTGCAGCTGCAGCTTTTTTTCCAAAGCCTGAGGTTGAACCATTGATTGATGCTGCCCCCAACGTGGTGGCTTGTCCCCAAGTGGCAGACAGCGTGCTCAACCGGGAGCTCACCCTCATCGCGTCCGATGTGCAGACACGGCTCGATGAACGGCTCCCCCACTGCAACAGTTCCGTTTTGTCTTTCTGGCAGTTGGAGCCACAACAGATCCACCGCAGCATCCCGCTTCCCATCTGGGGACAGAACTTCACTGCGGAGATCAGTCTGCAGCTCCCGCCTGGCACTTTCTGGAGCCTTTTTACTCCCCTCAACTCGCCCGGCCTCGAAGAGATCCTGATGAGCGTTCAGACCTCTACTTGCCACGGTCTGCCTGTGGAAGGCTTCTCCTCAGAAGCTTTGGAAGTGGTGGATGTCTTGGAAGAAATGGCCGCAGATGCCTCGAAGAGCGGTCTTCAAGCCCGTGTCATGTCCTTTGGGAAGATTGTGTTAACAATCAGAGATGGAGTGGAGAAAGTCATGGGCCTTTCAACTGCCTTGTTTCCACTTGGTACCTTGGACCTGGTTGGGCTGATTGGTGTTGGGGTGTTCAGGGCTTGAGGTGTTTTGCTCAACCTTTTTGTAGCATCCTGAGAGGCATTGCAGTCCTGGCTTACATGGTCGGAAACGGCCGGTTGGCAGCCATTGCGGTGGTGAATGTCATTGCTGCGCTGACAGGCTCTGTGCTCATCATGCACTTCTTCGTCTCGAAGATCATGACAGTGAGTCTGTTCACACCGGCCTTTGCCATTTGCGTGGTTCTTGCCATGAGTATTGACTACTCCCTGTTCTTGTTGACCAGATTCCAGACAGAGGTCTGCAGAGAAGCCAGAGATGCCAAGGATGCCGTTTGGGTGATGATGGCAACCTCTGGCACTGTTGTTGCACAAGCTGGCTTGACCTTAGCCTGCTGCTTCTGCTGTGTGTTTATCATCCCAGTACCACTTATCAGTGCAATGGGAGCAGGTGGACTTGCTTCAGTTTTCACAGCCACAATGGCCACCCTAACTTTGACACCTGTCTTGATTCTCTGTGCGCCTACTTTCTGGACGAAGTCCTGTGGGTCATGCAGATGTTGGCCCAGGCAGGAGCTACAAGCTACCGCACCATCAAGGTTGCCGTTCTGGGAGCGGTTCGCAAAAATCTTGGCACAGGAACGGACGGCAAAGTCCATGCTGTTACTCCTCGTCGTGTTGGCTGTTGCTTGTGTGTGGGTCGATCTTGCAGCACCTGAGGATACAGTCGGTTTCCTGCCCGCCTTGCCTGAAGGATCCGAAACCGCAAAGGTTTTGCAAGACGTGGGCAGAGCCCTAGGATTTGGATCCGTCTTCCCCACCGAGATAGTCATCATCTCACCGCCCGGGGTTGATTTTCCGCATTGGCGCCGCGAGGCGTGCCAGGCTTTGAAGAGCATCGCAGTTGAGGTGGCAAGCGCTCCAGGCAAATTTCAGGACTTCACGGACTCTGCCTTTGTGGGACCAGTCATGATTGGCGGGACGTGCTTGGTGGATATTGACGTGAATGCTACTGGCATGCAGTGGGTCAATCATTCAGGGCAGAAAGCTGCCGTGATTCATGTAGACTACGGTGTGAATCCATTGTCTGCGCTGGGCCGTGAGTGGACCGTCTCCTTGGAGAGGGCTGTGGAGAGGCACCAAGTGGGAACTTGGTTTGTGCGAGGATATGGTCCCATCATGTCAAACCAAGCACACTGGGCTAGCCGACGTTTTCCATACCTTCTGTGTTCCATGGTGGCGGCGATTCTGATCATACCCAGCATCTTCACACGCTCTGTTATCTCAAGCTTGAGGGCTCTGTTCTGTTTGACTTGGATGCTGATCATTGTCTGGGCAGTCACCCTGCTGATTTTCCCGTCGGGCATTTATTACATCGTGCTGCCCATGATGTTGCCTTTCGTTGTGGGCATCTCTTTGGATTATGATATCTTCTACACTGAAGCAGTTTTGGAGCGATGCAAAGAACAGAAGAGTACCAAAGAGGCAGGCCTTCATGCCCTCGTTCACACAGCAAACATCATTTCGGCAGCTGGTATCATCATGATCATTGCCTTCTTGCCTTTGCTTGTGTCCTCCACACTGATGATGCGGCAGATTGGGCTGGTAGCAATCCTGTCCTTGCTGATGAACGCCACCGTGAGCACCAAGCTCTTGATACCACTTTGTGTACAGGTGCTGGGCCATGCGACCTTCTGGCCGCGCCAGGCAACACCAGCAAAGATGTCTCCAGATGGACCTGATGGACGTGTTGATGTCAATGTAGTACCAGTTCAAGGCAACGAGACTAAGAAGCCCATGGAATCCATGGACCTAGATCCTCGAGTTTGAGAAAGCGTTGCGATCTTGATGATTCAGCATAGCTTGATTCCCATTTTCTTGTGCGCCTGCTTATTCCTAATCTCCATGCATGATGCCTAGAAAGCGTTTTGATGGCCCAACAGCGGTTCAGGAAACGCCAAGACTCAATTTGCGTTGGCAGATGTGCATGGATCATGTGACGCTTGATTTCTTGCTTGCTTTTGCTTGCAGGTGTTGCATAAACAAAAAATACAAAAAAGTGTGGCTGAGAAACGAGAGGTGGATCCATACACTTGCTTCTGATGCAGAATTTTGCTCCATGCCAGGAATTCAAGTAATTCCAGACCTGGTGATTTTCTGCCCATTGCGGTGAAAAAGCTTAAGAGCCTCAGCACATTTCCCACAAACAGGAATTGAATTGATACCACATCGCATGCTTGTTGTTTCATGGCGATTGCCACTTGCTGATGCTGTGCTCGGGCAGATGGGTCAGAAATCCTTGGCACTGTCGCAATGTGCATGTTCTGTGGTTCAAGCGTTTGCTTGAGATTTTGTATGCAAGCCAAGCGGGGAGTGCAGGGGGGATTCATACACGGACATACAAGTTTCTGTTTCATGGTCCATCTTGGTAGCTTTTAGTAATTGGATTCGTGGGGGTAGTCTCTGCAAGCCCATCTTATTCATGATCTCAGAAGGTGTGGTTAGCTCCCAGGAAGTCTGATGATCAATCGATCGCCTGTCTGCAGCGCTTTTGTTGATCATGCCCCATGCAGACGCATGTACCTTACCCTAATGATCCAAATAGCCCGATGTAGGTAATATTTACAGACTTTAGGGCCCAATGTAGGTACTATTTGTATACTTGGACCCTTAGGGTTGGCCAAGACTGTTCTGTTGCTGCCCCCATGGCTGGACTTTCTGCTACGACACTTCGTGCTCTTGGCCCAGGAGGTGGCTGCCCAGATGTACTCTTTGCCTTCTCAAGTTAGCCCGCATCCGTTGGTTGAAAGGTTGCACGTTTTTATTGGTGCTTTGTTGTCGTTGCACGGCTGTTGTGGTGGCAGCCTGCGGTGGGAAGGGCTGCGGTGGGAAGGGCTGCGGTGGTGCTTGATGTCGCTTGCTTTGTTTTTTTGCGTCTCTGTCGTCGAGGTTATGGTGCCTTTTTCTTTACGGACAAGTTTGCTGGCCTAACGGAGCTTCCGTTGTACACCGTAGCACCTAATAGTACAAGGGTTGCAACATGCTTGTGTTCTTGCAGCGCCAGAGCTTGCTATCCTGTGTGTTTTGCTGGATGCTAAGGTGCAGCGATTTTGTTGAAGAAGCTGGGCTGGCATGCAACACAGGCTGGTTGCATCTGACATGGCAGAGGAACAGCAAACTGCGATTTGGGTTCAGAAGGGCGGGAATTCACAGTGTTTGTGGGTGGTGGTATTTGACAAAGGCTTGGTCAGGCTTCACCATCGGCTGCAATCACCATTCCCAAAGCTTCACATCCCGGGATTTTCACAGGCACGGGAAAGGGATCGCTGCTTTTGATTGAAAAGCTGAAGATGCTATTGCAACACCGCTTGTCCTCCATGTATCCGAAACCTGCCGTCTCAATTCCATACCTGGAGTTCGCTATGCAGCTAGCAGACGCAGTCACGCAGGTCGCATTCTCTGCACTGGGCCCAGCTGGAGTGGGAGCACTGTTTCAGCAGCTTGGGAGAGAGTTCGCAGCTGAAGCTTGGCAGACGACCAATTGGTGTTGCCAGCTCATGTACTCACATGCATGATTGCAGTGTCTCACGGAATTGCTGAGCAAACCAAGAACACAAAGCAAGCCTGCACAGCATTTGGGACTTAGCTGCTTTGTCTATTAGATGCAAGTTTTGGAAGATGGTTCCGTTTGTGCTTGTGCTTGTGCTGGTGTGATGGGCTGTTTCTTCCCTCTTGGCCTTCAGCTTTGGTCTTCTCCTCAGTTCCAGAGCTGTGTCAAGGCTTGACGGTTTCCGTGACAGGTTTCATAGATTGCCGTCAGATCGAGCTGCCTCCCGCTGCCAGAGCATTCTTACGAATTTGGCTCGATATCGTGCCCGCATTGCCCGTCCCTGGTACGGTCCGCTCTTTGTCTCAATTTCCTGTTTTGTTTGCTTGCTTTTTGCCTTTCTGTTTTTCTTTCCTGCACTCAGCTTTCAACTGCTGTTTGCTGTCGGCTTATAGGCCTGGTATGGCTTGATGCATGCCTCTCACCAAATCGAAGCAAAGCCAACAACCAGCCACACACGGTCCCAGATTCGATTAGGACATACATTTCGGACTTGGTGTTCAAGACTGCAAACGCCCCGATGAGTGTACTTTCCGTGTTTGTCAACTTGAAGATGTATTCTTCAGAGCTTCACCGCTGAAAGAGTCACACAGGGCCTTGTAATCTTTCGGTGCAGCAGCTGAGATCCGTTTGAGAAACTGCAGGCGGAGGATGATCCACGACCCTCTCCCACCTTTTACAATAGCTTCGTTGCTTAATTATGTTGTACGCATCATGGCAAAATTGTTAAACCTTCCAGCAACCCTTAAAGTTCTTAAAACTTAGAATCAGGGTGTCTGCAGTGACACGGCCAAGTCCTTTGAAAGGTTTTGAAAACAGGGTAGGATCTGGTGAGAGCATGTGAGAGCTCTTTGAACCGGTGAATGCTTTTACGCCTCATTCTTTAAGCGGCTTTCAAGGATCTGCTGCGAGCGCTGGATGCTGATTGGGTTGCAAAACTGTTCGGCAAGCTCCGGGCAGATTTCCTTGAAGCGTTGTTCAAGATTATCGGTGCCTCGGCATGTCTGGTGCCAATCTGCCCAAGGGGGGTCTTCAGTTTTTTTTGGTTGAGCGGCGGCAATGAAGCCAGGCTGGCTTTCCATGCAATAGTCAGGAGGAGTACATGAGTAGTATTTCATTTGAGGACACATTCTCACCCCCAGAATGGAGTCAGATTATAGCCTCCTTTTGGATATAATATTGGTATACATGGAATATGATCTTACTGGGTTCTTTTCACTCTTGGCGGCCACTGTGAAATCACCAGACTTGTACAAAATCCTGTTGTCTGGCACCACACGGTTGGTCAGCTCTTACCCGTCCACGCGCCGCCCGGCGTATGACTGACTGACTGACTGACTGACTGACTGACTGACTGGCTGGGTTCAACCACAAAGAAGGCTTCTCGTGTAGCATGCATGCAAGCAAGCAATCTGAAAGTGAGGTGGACACGGTGCTGAGGCGTTGGCTTTGTTCGGGACTTGTTCATTGGCCTCTCGGTCAGCTTTTGCGTCCAGCTGTTCAACAACCTCGGGAGTGACTTCACCGCCGAGCCTCTGTTAAGAACTCCTTACACGGTTAAACTGATTGATGCTGGTCTTGTGACTTGTGGCTTCTAGGTTTGCAGACCTGACAAATCCAGCTCTCCTCCCAAATATTCCCAAATCCACAACTTCAGTCCCCACGCAAAGTTTCTCTCAAGTTCTTCTACCTCCCGGCATTTTCCCAACCAGGAGCTGTTTCTCAAGCTGGGCCAAGCCTACGTTCGAGACCTGTTCGTTGCCGTGGATTGTGAGTTCTTCAGCAAGCTTTTCACAGGGCTTGGCAGCCAGTGGACAGTGGAAGTCCACATGAAGAGTCTCAGCTATACTCGGAACAATTTTTGTGCTGGAAGTAGGGCCGGCTAAGGTGTCCTTATGTCGGGATGAGATGTGTGCAAATACGGTAAGCGAAATGCAGTCATGTCTTTTACTCAACTGATGTGTATTGGATGATTTTGAAATATGTTTTTTGGCTAGATTTTGGCCGTCGCTGTTTTCTTTCGAAGCGTTTTAACCGTTCTTCACATTCTCCTGCCGTCCTTACTCGTTGTTTGGTGCTGGACTTTTTTCTCATGCTGTACTGCACTTGGCACCAGCTTGGCTTCTCTGCAACATGCCGAAACTGTGTTTCCATGTGGCATAATTAGCCGTACCCAGTGTCAGCTGTCACGGGCTTGCTTGCAATTTCCTCTGTGTGTACCCATCGTGTGTTTTTCTGAGTTGCGTTCTCCAAGCAGCACACATGTAGTACAAGGCCACCGGATGTCAGCCGAGTCAGCCGCGTGCATCAAGTTAGCCTCAGACTAATGGGGCGCGGCCCTGACACGTGAGCGAAAAGAGCCGCACCCGAGCTGGAACGCAACAATTCAGACCACGAATCCAAAGCCAGGGGTGTATAGCTTTCTCTGCAGGAGTCCTTACTGGAGCAGGAGTCCTTATTGGGAGGCTGCCTCCAAGACCCCTTGCACGCATGCTTCTTGTTGGAGGCCTCTGAGGCATCAGGAGGAAGAGCGGGGTGCAGGCGTGGCAGAGTGGGAGGGTTGGAAAGGTTCAAGGTGGGTGGAAGGGTGGGGAGTTACAGAACCACATAGTTGTTGGGCAGTATTGTTCGCTGGCCAGGTTGTTCCCGACACCGGGCTTCCAACTCCTGCTCTACTATTCCTGACACAACGCTTGTGTCCGTTACCGACCCCACTCCTGCCCCTTCTTGATTTGCCCTTGGCTTTCGCCCGACTAGTGCGGCGCTAATCTTATGGCCAGAAAAAGCTGTCCAATATGAATTTAAGTCTTGAACCTGGGTAAGTTTGCAAAAAGTGCTCCTGGCCCTACTTCAAGGCTGTATGTACAGTCTCCATGAAGCTGGGTAGGCCCCTGGGATATTTAATATTTCCCCTAATTGTGTTAATAGGGGACCCTATATATCAATATTTTTCAAAGGGTTTAAGGGGCCAACCCAGGAAGCCATCGGCCTGCGATAGCACCAAGTTGCTCAACTTGTTTGTTGGTATAGGTTGACACGTAGTTGGCGCAACCACCACAAGTTGACAAAGCTGAGGTGAAGAGGGAATTGAGGAAATGGAGCCAAGCAGGAAAGAACTGTAGAACAGAGCGTTGTTCCACAACCCACACCCAGGCATGCAGAGATCAGCATCATCATCCAAAACAGCAATTGGCCAGGGCAGGTTTTCTCATGAACTGAACCAGCGCATACCAGCGCCACGAATTTCAACATTTCCCTAGGGTGGATAGCACGAACCAGGCCAGCTTTGGGAAACAAGAGCGTGTTGCATTTTCAACATGTTTTCAGTCGGTTTTCTCTTAGGGCTTTCGGCTTCCAGTGCCCGCAGCAAGGAATTCAATCGCATCTAAGATCTTTTGCCACGATTGTCGGCGTTCAAAAAACAGACAACGTTTCAGCCAACCTACAACTTGATCCGTCAAAGTCCTGTGAATTTACCTATGCAATTGAGTTTCTCTCCTTCAGCAGTGATTGAACACAAGAACCTGCACCGAGCAGCAAATTGACCAGGATGACGATTCTGCTTGCATCCTACTTTCCGAATTAGCGTGCTTGCGAAAGGCGATGGCAAGACCCCGGGATGGCAAAATCATGTGTGCATTTAAAACTGTTTTTCAGGATCTGAGTTTTTCCAATTCCCATTGTTCTGAACACGGCTGAAAAGTTTGATGTCGACGACAGTTGACAAGCATGTTCTGAGCCAGTTTCCAGCATCATGCAGCGCACGAAGGACCGGGCATCAGCAGCCATGCTTCAAATCTCTTTCACAGCCAGCCCCTGGAATGATGAAGCAATTACAAGTCGACTTGAAACAACTTAGTGCGCAGAACAGCTTAGTGTGCAGGACATGCAAAAGTAAACCGAAAAATGGGTCACACTGAAGGGTCATGTTGAATCGTTGTGCGCAACATGCTTCAGCATCCTAAGAAGCGCGAGCTGGAATCAGAACCCTCAGATTGCAAACCAGCGCCCAAAGAACAAATGCTTTCTGGGGCAGTTAGTTGCGGTCTCTAGTTTACGTCGGCATTAGGCAGGCGAGACAACACATTGGACATTGGACTTGAGCACAGCTTGATTTCCTGACATGGCTTTGGGTCTTCAGACCACTCGATCATGATTTTGATGTCCTACGTGGATGTTCTACTACTCCTAAACTAAGTTTCCAAACACTTCCATGAATCGGGACCCTCTTCAATTTGCAGACGGCTGGCCCAGCAAGTTCTGGTTGTTTCTGCAAGCGCTGCAGGGCAGGCGCTCGCTTCGTGACCGACCTCTATGCAGAGCTTGGATTCAAATATACGGCGTCATTGTTTGGCACCGCTGGGCTGCAGTTCACGGTAGAGGTCGGTTGGGGCCACGGCATGCTGTCTTGGGGAAGTGTCAAGCTTGATTGAGTTGAAGAGTTGCTTTTTGATTTTGTTGCGGCGAGCCTATGCGCATGACACATTTGTTTGTCCCTCAACTTCCAAACCCATGCCGGTCGCCTTGCAGGTCCATAAACGCTTTGGGGCGGAGTTTGCTGCCACGCTGTATGGCGGTCCCCAACCTGCATTGTTGTAGAGGGCTTTCAGCTTCAAACCACGCAAGTTCGAAGCTTCAACCATGAGACCGTAACCTTACATTTACCATCCTCTTGGCGACTGAGGCCTGGGCGCTGATTTTTTTGCCGGGCTGTTGCTGGATTTGGGTCCGGAATTTGCGTCAGATTTTCTCGTCTGCTTGGGCCAGGACAGTCCCTGCCTGCACTCGTTGCCCCGTGGTTCAGGGAAAGGTTTGTTGAAATCAAGTTTGCCGCTAGGGGTTGGGCCAATCGCTAATTTTTGGAGCTCGGCTGTGTTGTGGTTGGAGAATGTGCCACTGTAATTTATGGTTCTCATGATCAGATTAGACCCTTGACCAGGCTGCTCAGAGAGCCGATGTCACCTGAGACTTGGGGAGGGCAATTTGCTTTTAGACACGATGAGACAGGTTGGCGGGTATAGGACTCACGGCTTTTTCGATGAGGATCTTGAAGGGAAGGAGTCGGTGGGCTTCTTGCGAGTTGCCTGCTGCGCTAAGAAGCCTTGAAGGGGTTTGAATCCTTGTCAAAACTTTTTGGAGGATTTCGCAGTCTTGATTGGATCCGTCAACGCCGAAGGAAATCCAAAGATGGCACATGAGGTATGTGCAGAGTATGTGATAGGGAGGATGGTATTTGACTGAGTCGGTGGACTGGACATGCCATTGTACGTTCCGAGGAAGCGCCCTGCTGACAGGCGAAAACATCATCGGCCTATGTGCATTCACTAGTCATGCTACAAGTTGCGCGTGTTGATGGCTTGCGTGCAGTTTTTCATGTTCTTTCAATTAATTACGCAGTGGTTGTTGATGCAGTTTTTGTGTTTAGCCATATTCCCGCAAGCGAAACATGAGGAGGTAAGAGTTCTGGCTGGCTGTGTGCAAGAGTCTCTTGAAATTGTTTCTGAGTTGTTGCATGTTTTTTGTTATTGTTTGTTTAGCTATAGTTTGAGAAAGGGGCTAGTTGGGGTATTGGAAGGGGGAGACAAAGGCTTGACAAAGGTCACAACAGGCAATCCATAAGCTGAACAAGTCAAGTGGTAGACAAGGCGTGTTTTCCGTTGATCCCAGGATGAACATAGTAAAAAGGTAGAAAGAGGTAACGTTCCAGATGCTTTGTGGAGGGAAGCCGGCGTTTCGGCAGCTCTATGCACATAGTCAATAATAAAACAAATTAACAGTGCAGCCATGTCAATGTGGACTTCGCCCCTGGTAAGGTCCTTGGAGTCGCAGGGGATTTCAGAGTCATTTGAGGGGTTCTTGAGCTCAAGCGGTTAGACTCCTTGCGGCGTTTTTTTTTGTTCGTCAGCGTCTACGTGTGGCGTGATGTGCACACAACAGCCAAAACTCTGACCGTGGGTATGCCATGGAATACCAGTGCGCAGACAAATGAAAGAAACACCTTCTTGCTCTCAGATTACGGTCTGGTTGCTTTTTGTCCAACATAACTTGTTTGGGGTTTTCTGTGTTTTTGTTAAAGCTTGATTTCACTTGAGCAGTTGTTTGTATTCATAATTTCTGCGTTTTTGTATACTGTTTGCGTTTTCAGGAGATTAGATCCAAGCTGTCTAGAATGAGAGCAAACATGAGAGAGTGGATCAAACGGAAAGCTTCTGGAGGGTGGGACGCCTTGCGTCTTGCTGATCTACAGTGTTTCTTGAGGGTCTGCTGAGTTTCGAAGTAACTTTCTCATTGCCTTGGATTTGGCGAATGCTTCTGCGACACCTTGAATTTCAGTTTCTGTTGATCAACATGTTTTATGCCAGAGATAGTCGCATGACTCACGACTCTTATCAATGATTTGAAGTCTCTATGCCAACAATGTGCATGCAGATCCTTATAATCCTTGCCTTCTAGAACATGTAGTGCAAGTCCCCGCAATGTTTACAACCGCTAAAACTTCAAGGCCGCAGCGCCTCTTCACAAAACATGCAGAAAACACGGATTTAGCCTCTCTCTGCCCCCGATGGATGGGTTCCTATTCAAGAGCACGATCCCTACCGTTCATCCCAGTTTTTGAGAGCGGATTTGCAGGACTATGGCTGCCACTTCTTAACCTTATTGGGCAATGCCTACATGGCGCACTGCTTCCTGACGATGGGGGCAAAGCCCGCTGCAAATGTCTTCAAGGCAGCAAGGGTCTGGTATCCTGACCGTACCTAGCATCAATGAAGCATCAGTCTCTAATATAGTAGCTTCCATTTTCTTTTCCATTATCCCAATATAACCCCAACATAATAAAGTAGTTTCCATTTTCTTTAACTTTCCATTATCCCCATATTAACTGTTTGTTGGTCTTGCTAGGTGATGGGCTCTGGCTTTCTTGCCACCCTCTTCCAAGAGTTGGGTTCTAGTTGGATTGCTGGCATCCACATCCACATGGGCCAGGACCCGCGGCAACGTCAAGATTTCAAGCTCCAGCTTACCCGTAGCTCCTGAATATGCTGGCGTGTTAAGCAGGTTCGTGCTCCAGAACAGACCTTCCACTTCCTTTGGATGTTGGCTATGTCAAGTGACTTGACACTCCCAAGTTTCTCACCTTGAAGTTTTTAGGCCGTAGGGTCTGGATGCATTCCATGACTGGTTGCCATACACCGGCTGTTTCCATGTCAGACATGCGTTTTAAAGATTTTGGGCTGTCAGTACTACAGTACAAGAGCGCATCCGGCACGGCCGCTGTCCTCCTCCAGCGGGCAGGGCGATGCACAGGGGGCTTCTCATAGTAAGAAAACTCTCGCGCGTGGACGCGATACTTCCGCCGGCGGCCACACGGGCTTGTAGATGTGCATCTGCATAAAGGCACTCCTTAAGAACCAGGCCTTCATTTGGAGGGTTTACACAGTTTGCTCATTAGTTTTGTTGAAGGAGCGCTGCGAAGTGCGTTGTTAATTGCCGTCGGTCCCGGCGGGACCGCCTTGATATTGCGGTCAGCCATGCACTGACTGTCGCAACTTCAACGGCACACGGCCCGATGCTGCGGATCAGGGTGCAGACTGCGCAGATACAGATAATGACGCCGTACGACGTTGGAATGTAAGCACGCATAGAACGCTGCGCGAAAACGCGGGTCCCGGGAAAACCTGAGCAAAAGACAGCAAAACGGACGGCTCCATGCTGAGCAAGACCGCACATGCTCCTCAACAGTGGACTGCCGCACCACCTCAAATCCGAGCGGGGGCGGCGGGATGCAGATTGGCGGGGTGCGTGTAGATTCAGTTCATGTGGGAACTTGCTACGGGTGAGGCAGAACATTAGAGCTTTTTCAGCCTGTTCCAGACGTCTGTCTCGCGAATTGGATTTTCGCGTGACCCTGGCGGTGAGAAAGGGCACAAAAACTGCGGCAATATATCGGTGGGCAGAGATCTGGAGAAATCCAGCTTTTTTTATACACGTGCAAACAATTCCTTGTACAAGATGAACACCGTGTTGCCGCATTGGTGGCAACGACCGTGATGAAGTGCTTTGAATATGCAATGAGGCAGGCCACAGGCTATGCACCCGCAGGATTTTGTTTGCGCGCTTTACCAAGAGCTCGGGCCCAACTACCTGGTCAATCAGCTGCAAGAAACTTCTGTCGAGGTTCAGCTTGAAGTGTGACTAGCCTGGTGGGCCGTGTTTCGAGGTTGTTTTCAGGATTTCAATTCAGAGCAAGGCGACCAGGATCTGACTGTGCTCAAGTACTGAGGATGCTATCTTCTCAGCAAGTCCTCAAGATCAAATACAGGGACCCTGCCGTGTTCAGACAGTGTGGGTGCAAAGTTGGGCATGGACAGAAGGCAAAAGGCCCAGTCTAAGAACCAGAGGATGATTCGGCTGCACTGAGAGCAGTTGCCTAGGCTTCCATCTTTGCCACTTGGGGTCATGCCTTCGCTGCAGACATACTGCGAAAGTTGGATGCTCCATTCTGTGCCTTGGTCCACACACCAGGCTTCATGTTCTTCAGCACCTCGTTTGGAGCCCGTAAGCTAGCCGTCAGCAGCACATGGCGAGATATCTTGTCTCTTGTATACTTGATGTCGTAAAGCCTGTCCACCTGCTACTAAGGTGCGCAGCTGTTTATCTTGCTTGATGCTGACTTTATATCTGTGCTGTTTGGCAGCTTGTAAGCAAGAGGAAATAGTTTGGTGCGTGCAACAGGTGCCGGTACCCTACACCTGACTTGAGACGACTCAAGGGGTCTCAGATTTTCAGTTCGGTCCCAAGCTTGGTCGCTGCGATTTCTTCCGCTGGCGCTCAGGCCTTTTACATCACATGTGATTTGACACAAGATCCAACCCACGCCCCCCTGTCAGGCTTGAAGCAGGATGTCCACTCCAGCAAACAGGAAGACACAATAAACTGCCTAACCCCGAAAAACAGTTTTGAAGCTTATTCCTCAAAAGTTCTGAGCGCTCTTTCACCTGAAGAGCCCCCTTTAACATTCCCATCAATCAGATTCCAAGCACCGCATCTTTGAGGGCCCCGTTCATAGTTGGAAACTTGCAGCCGCATATCCAGGTAGCACAGCGAGGAGCTTTGTTTCCTGAAAGTATCCTGAAAAGTACTTGTGAGCATCAACACCAATCCCATAAACATAAAATATTCTATAACACCTATAGAATCCCAGTTTCCATTTCATTTTCCATTTTCTTTTCCATTTGATTCTCCATTATAGGGGGATAATCCCTTAATTTAAGTTCCTTAAATCCCTATATTCCCCCAGTTTCCATTTCATTTTCCATTTTCTTTTCCATTTGATTCTCCATAAAAGGGTTTGAAGATCAGCCTTCATGGCTTCCAGCACACTGCAGCCCGTGGACTGGTGCTATGGAGCACCAAGCCCGGAAGCCAAACCAACGCATCTCTAGGCCCCAGCAGAACACTGGATGTACAAGTTGCTGCACCTTGGCTGGACATTTCCCGTCCCTGACCATAGGCAAACTTGGACGCAACTATGCCGCATGCCTCTTCCGCGCACTTGACGCACCGTTTGTGGCCGTGATGTTCTCAAACCTCGGTGCTGCTTGGATTGGAGGAAGGATTGCCCTGCTTGTTCGGTTCTTAGAGAGTTCCACTTCTGCTTGGTGGATCGGTGCTTGCCTTTGTGAGAGCTTAGCCTTGAAGTTCCAAGAACTTCTAGCCATAGTCGTGAATTCCTCTTCTCACTCTCTGGAATCTGAGGCTGTCTACCTCGCTATTCTCTTCAGATGCCTGTCAATTGTCTTCGTCGCGGCTTTGTCTGCAAGTCAACATCTCTTTGAACCTCAAAGGTATGTGGCATTATGTGGCAGTACGTGGCATGTTACTGTTGAGTTTGTGAGTTTGCGCAATCCAGCAATTGCTGAAGCGATAGATGTAAAGGAAGCATTCGATAGCTTGTGACATCTGTCAGGAAGTATACTTCTCTTGTTGTTCAAGTACAGAATTTCCTGCAGAATGTGATCGGGGGGCGAAACATGCACACACAAACCCAGCGCAACCAGAGCAGAATTCCGATGTCAGAAATGTTTCGACTGAGGCTGGTAACTATAGAGCTCTTTACGTTTGCTCCGTTAACTTGCTCATCACGGCGGTAGCTCTTGGGCTCAGTGTTTTGACAACGCCTGCTGCCAGGCCGACTTGCTGCAGCAGGTAGGCAGCTCCTGGTCTTCGCACCTCTTCAACAGACTTGGTGGCAAATTTGCCGCTTGGATTCCTTGACTGCCTGCTGTGCATATGAATTCCCGGCTGTGAGGGGGCAGATGTTCAGCAAGCAATGAGCAGAGGGAATTTGCATCCGGTAAAGCTTGCATTTGCAGCTTCCCTGGACTGGATGAGGTCGGCTATCTCTTCAAAGACCTGGGCCCTGTGTTCATTGTGGCGTGTCTGTTTGGCTTGTTACAGGTTGCAAGGTGAACACGCGCCAGCCGCCAGGGGTTGTGCACGACCGTTTTCAAGTGAATAAGTGTTGGTTGGTCGCCACTAGCTGCATGTGCAATGCCCTATGGCCAATCCAGCGGAAGCTGAAGGATTTCATGTTCAAGGGCGCGGCCAGTTGATCAGGAGTTGAAGGAATTCTCTAAGGCTGTTCGGGGGTACTGTCAGAACCTGCACCATGAGTCTGAGCCGCGTTTCACGGTATCAACATCTTGTTCAGGACTGTTACGCGATTTATGATACTTGGTGGATGTTTGGATGTGTCAACATTTAAGGCCGGACTGCTGTGGCGCCTGGGCCCGACCTTTGCGTCAGGACTGCTCACATCCCTGGGCATGCCAGCGCCTCAGGAATTGAGCTGCCAGTTTGGGTTCTGCTGAAGGACCTAGCATTGAAGCAATGAACTAGATTCAGCAAAGTGCATCCGCATAAGGCAAGTTTGCGTCTAATCATTCCCCACACTTGACGAGGACAGCTATTTCTTCAAAGACTTTGGCTCTTTGTTCATCGTGCCCTGGCTGTGTGCAGCTTGCTTGTCAGCGTCTTGGTGAGGATGAGGTCACACTTGTGTCGCGTACCGCAGGTCGGAGCCATGAGCTTTAGTGAAAATGTCTCATGGGGACACGAGCGCTGGGAAGCGCCCCCCCAGTTTCAGGAATCTGCGCAGAAAGGTTTTCATGGCGCATGTTGCGTCTTGCGCCTGAAGAGTAACAGACAAATGTAGCTTTTTGCTGATAGTTCTTCTGTGCATGTTTTCAGCACGTCATTTGGAGACCCCGAACCGAAAACAGGTCATGAGGTCACTTCCAGCAGGGTAATTTTCGAGGTCCTCTTCCACCAGTTAGGACTGAGGCCAACAGCCAACAGCATATGCGTGAGTCTGAGCGGCGGTATCCACATCTTGTTCAGGACTGTCACACGATTTAAGATACTTGGTGGATGTTTGGATGTGTCAACATTTAAGGCCGGACTGCTGTGGCGCCTGGTCCCGACCTTTGCGTCGGGACTGCTCACATCCCTGGGCATGCCAGCGCCTCAGGAAATTAATCAAACTTTAAACCCAGCAGTTTATCACTTGTTCCGGGATCCGAAGGACCTAGCTTCTCACGATGAGCAATGACTTCGACCAACGTTGAATGGCAGATGACGCTGGATTGATGATGGCTCGTGTTGGTTCAGGGGTTGCTCAGGGGCGTGTTGTCCGAGCCCAGCCACCAGACAATCCCTGACTTGAAGCTAATTCGTAAGCGAACTCTTTGCAAGTGAAGCAAGCTCCGCTGACCTCCACGCTCCAATATCCAAGTTAGGCCGTGTGCGTCGTTTTGCTTGCAATGCGTTGCTCCAAGTTCAAAGCGGCCCTGAAAAGTCACTGCCTCATCGTAATCGTAACACGTGAACAAGTCCGTTCCTGGGACCCTTCACATTCGCACCATGGCCACGTGCGGAATCGGTCCGGGTGTTTCTCAACATGATCTCCTTCGTATCATAAGCAGGGCAATATGCCCAGATACCCGGATTGGCAGTTTTGTGGTGCGCAGCAGCCACGAAGCAGCAGGCATGTACACAACATGCTATTCCAGCAGTGGTGTTGCCCAAACCAACAAGTGCAGGCTTGCTTCCAAAACGTGTGGCCCAGTCTCCAGGGTTCACCTTGTTTAGTGTCAGACTCTTAGAAGCGGTGCTAGCCTGTCTCTCGATGACAATTTGCTACTGGAGAATGAAAATGTATGCCAGTGCCCGAAAGTCAAAGTGCTGGTGCACCGCTTCTTTTCCAACTCGGCGGGCGAGTTGTTGCCTAGACGCATCACACCCAGGTGCGCATTCCGAGCAACAGACTCGAGCATAATGTCAGCTCCTGCGGAGATGCAAGTTTTGACTTCCTTGCCCACCGGTGGCAGATCCAAATTTTCATCCAAAGACGAAGGTCGCAGACATGATGTCCTTTGCTTAGCTGCTGGCTCTTACTGATCCGGCTGGATTTGCATGCTATCTTCCAAAGTTGGGGAGCACAACCTCGCCAAGGAACTTTGCGTAGTTGCTTAGGTTTCGCTTGCAGTACGGCTGCGTGCTGAAAGCAAACACATTTTCCAAGCAGCAAGATGATTGTCATGGTGCAGGTGCTGCCGGTCTGGTAACTATTCTGTGGATTCTGTGGGTAGCCCAAACCCAAAATTTTGCAGGATGATCAAAAGAGTCCCATGGTATGTCCAGTCACCGCAAGTGCTCCATGTACCGTAGGAGACCTGCCTTTGTTACGATGAGTCGTGCTGCTCAAACCAAGCCGCTGCTACAAGAAAAAGAGCCTAATTCAAAGTGGGGAAGACGGAGAAATCTGAAAGCATCCTTGCAGCAACTATTCAGAAGCAGGCCAAGACAGATAAGGGCAAACTAGTCATGGTCAGTTTTGTAGTTGAGTGAATGAAAGCAAGGCAGCTTCATATTGAACACCTCTGCGTGATACATTGTGCTTTGTAATATGTTGCATAAGGTACACGCATGCAAGTTTTCGTCTCTATCGCACATGATTTTCATTTTCCCCCAGCCACTTGTTGTTTTATTGATTGAGCGGAAACAACAAATTGCAATGGGTGTCGTACTGTTCCAGTTTCAGAGTTGTTTGTCTTTCTCCGCCTGAAGCCATGCACACGCATTTATGTTCAGCATGAGTTGTCAACGTTGTGAAGATGTCCCTAGACATGATCCACGCTGTTTTTGGTGGGGTTGGTCTGGGCATCACGCGGCATGGTGTTCGCCTTGTGATGTCTGTTTAGCCAAGAGGCCGCAACGGGACATCCCACATTCAAACCCTAAAGCCTCGCCTGCTGCAACATTTAATGTCTCTGAATTTGCAGCATTTACCCCTTCAGAGGAATGCAAGGATGAGCTCTCACGGAAAATCCGACCAAGCTGAGTCTGGCCGCTGCAGGGAGTTGTATTCCAGTTGGGGAGCCAATCGCGCCCGCTATATAACATGACATTTTTTGCCATTGTCATATATCATGAAAAGCGTATGTTTTCTCTTGCTTGAATCACCAATTACTCAGTTTCGACCCTGCTGAAGCCAGGCGTGGGAACGGGCCGCAGCCCATTTTGGGTTATCTCGGTACGCAATCCTTCTTCCCCTCAATTGCACTTGCAGCAGGACGCTGTGCTCCTTCAATTGTGCAGGGTCGTGAGGTGTCATGCAGCGCAATGCCCATCTCCACTGCAAACATGTTCTCTTCACAGCAGCTGCTTGTGTTTTTAGGGTCTGGTTGCTACCAGCAATTACTCTCGTCAGTCCTTTTATTGAGATTATTTACTTCATTGGCTGATGAGCTCCGAAGGACCACCAAGCCATGGGCATCGTCATGGGCACCAGTGCTGGAGGGGGAGCAGCTGCAGGCAGCGGTGGTGGAGGTGGCAGCGGAGGCTGGATGTCTCAATCTCAAGCTGGGCTGGGTTGTATCTTGCAGGGGCCAATATGGGGTCATGCAGGAGTTCTGTCATCTCACCTGCTTCTTTTGAGGGTCGATTGCATAAGGAAACCGTGGGAGTGGCGTGTGTTGGGTATTGTTTGCTAGCGCCAACAACTGACATCCCACTGGAAGATGGTGCTGCAAGTGTGCCTCAGGCAACTGGTTCTTCGGTCCTGACCTTGGGTCTTGCCTGGTAGCAGCTGGCCCATGCTGAGACGGTGCTTGTCATGACTTGGAGAGTGCTTACGCTGAGACCTGTTCTATGAGCGCTACGCCGAAGGGAGCAACGAAAATCTCAAGTATGTGGGTTCAGGCCTGCAGACAATCGCTTGTAGCTGGTGCATTGGACGCCGCTCCCTGGGTGTAGATGTTACTTGTCCGGGTAGTGACATTTGTTGTGCTTTGGTGCCATAATTTCCGAATCTTGGACAGGCCCCTTGCATTAACCTAGCAGAGCTTAGGGTTGGAGCAGCTATTGGGGTATAGTCCCCCTTAAGTAGATAGAATATGGGGTATATGGGGATATTATCAGAATATACCTAAAGCCATATTCTACCTATTTAAGGAGGACTATAGGCCTTCTTCCAAAGTCTGCATGGCTGTCACTGCCTCGCTGCTAGGCATGGGCCATATGGAGACCAAGCTCGTGGAGGTTGGCGCAGGCACAGATAGAATATAGGGGTTATATAGGGATAATATATGGGTTATATGTAGGGGTTACATAGGGGTTATATACCATCTGCTCATTGCTTCTCCCAGTCACTCCAAAGAGCTGCAGCAATCAGGCCAAGGCAGCTACACCAAGGAGAAAAGTGCCACTTATGGCTACAGGCACGAGCACGTGCAGGTCTGTAAGAGATGATGAGGCGGACCAGATTGTCATCTCTGTCGCAGGTGCCGGCCTGCCTGCTGGCTCTGCTTGCTGTGCCGTCAACTCAAAGAGACATCTCAAAGCATCACAAAGAGCTCAGCGCGCAGATGCGCGGCAGCGCGTCATCCTTCTCATCCCACCTCACCACCACCCGCAACCCGCATCCACGCGCCCCAGTGTCAAGGCCCGCTGCTTTTCCTCCCGCTGCTCTTCCTCTGCCCCGTCCGGGCCCCGGCGCAAGAGACCTGCGCTATGTTTTGCGCATCCCACCCACATGGGCCCGGATCGGCCGACCGCGTCAGGTGCGCTCTTTCTTCACCGGCGAGAGCTGTGTGCAGGGACCTCTGCCTGAAAGTACGAGCCTGATGCAGAACCTGTGGACGTGCTAAGGGGAGCGGCTGACCCATGCGGTGCCTTGACTGAGAGATGCAATGTGATGCAATCGTCTTGTGCTAGCTGTTTCTGCTAGTGTCACATGAACCGAGATCCGTGCTATGGCGCCGTGGTGCCGGGACTCGTTGCAGGGGGCCCCAGAGCCGTCATTGGATGCTGTCATGGTTTCTTAGGCGCAGGCCCAAGCGCATGATGCCCGATTGAGCAGGACAGCAGCTGCTGTTTGACTTGCGGGGTCTCCTGTGCGGACCCGACCACAGAGGCCCGGAGAAGAGAGTGGCGTGGAGCCCTCACATCCCCGCACACTTGCGCAGTAACCTCGGCGTGCAGGCTCCGCACTACCACGAGGTCGTCCGCCGCCACTACAACACGGTGGTCAGGACTCCAAGCTCCAACGAAACCCAGGGCCAAGGGAAGTGCTGTGGAGAGAGCGTCCTGTCCTGCCTGGTGGCGCAGGAAGGTGCCAGTGAACCACTACGCGACCTGGCTGCAAAGTTCAGCATTCGGTCATCATTCGAACTTATTACATGCGCGGACAGGTGAAGGTCCAGATGCCGCAGGCGCCGCCCATCGTCCACACGGTCCACGTGGTCGCAAGGGCCTCGGAGAGATAAGCTGCATGCTGTACTGTACGCAGCCTTGACCTCGAATCATGCTTGTTGCCCGCCCAGAAGCCCAACGCGCACTACGACTGCTTCGATGGCGACAACTACGCCTACAAGACATGGTCCGGCCCACACACGCGGTGGTGCTGCTACAAGTACAAAGAGGACAGGACTGCAAAGGTCAGTTTTGAAGCCGCGCGGCCTGCAAACAGTTGGAAGGGTATATGGTTTGCTGCACCTGCGTCAGTACTGTCCCAAGCAAGTCGTGAACCGCAACATCTACCACCACGTGACCAAGATCCAGCCCCTCTGCAGCAGACTTTTGCATATGCGAGCACGGAAAGTTTCACGTAGCCAGGTCTCAAGTTGGAAGCTTTGGGAGAGGGTTACGCACGGTTTTGCTAGTCCGTTTGTCCGTGAGATTCCGTGACATGGCCAGGCGGGTGCACGTGCCGGTGCCGGTCCAAGCACCGCGCCCTCCTCCAGCTGCTCGGCTTGGGCAAAAAATGGCAAAAGTCACAGCGCAGCCCGTGATAGTTTTTAAGTTATTCTGCCGTGCTTATAGCTACGGTGCTCACTGTCCCGGTGCCGAGATCATCCACAACATCCCGCAAGTCTACCATATCCCGAGCCCGCCAATGTACGTGCACGTGCCGGTGCCGGGGCCCACCGTGGTCCATCACGCGCGGAGCCCGGAAGGAAGGGAGCAGTAATCCGGGCCGGGCCTCAGAATGCTCAGAGCACTGCCGGAGCATACTTCAGCCGCGCAGGTCGTGGTCAACAAGGACGTGCCGTACCCCGTGCGGCAGCCTCCCCAGGCGCATGGAAGGAGTTGCTAGAATCCCTGCCGCTCGGTGGCGCGGGCTGCAGTGCTGCCTGGCAGGTCATAACCGTGAAGAAGCCCTACACGGTCAAGATCGCCGGCCGCAGTGGCCTGCTCAGGGCGGAAGCCATGCACACAGGAAAGGTGTCGAACGGGGCCACTCTCCAAGCATGCATGCGCCAGGCCATTATGTGCACGTCCCGGTGCCCTCGCCGCCTCACATCGTTCCCAAGTACAAGGTGCACGTTGTCACGGTGATGGACTATGCGGCTCGGCACGCAAAATGAGATAAAATGAGGCAATCTGATGCGGAACATTGCTGGACGATGGGGCCACTTCTTCACTTGCTCCTGAGGACTGTGACTCCCACTTAGACAAGTGGTACTACACCTGGTCCAGCGCAAAGCCTCTTTCCTACGTTTAAATTTGTCGTCAAATTTCGGGTAAAAACGAGAGCGCGCGGGGCTCAGGAAGCACTGGTGCTGCGACCATCAGCAGCGGGGCTGCCCAGGACACGGATGAAAGGCCTACTGGGGGGAAGGGCTTTGGATGGTCAGCAGGATCCTGGCACCACCATAACCACGTCGTGACGGTTGTGCACCACTACAAGCACTACGCCGCTCGGCCGCAGTGGCTGCTTGCGAAGGGACCAAGGGGGGACTTGCACTGAGAACTGCCACGCCGGCTTGTCCAACTGGTACCACGGCTGGTCCAAAGTCAAGAAGTCCTGGTGCTGCGTTTCCCCGGCTCGCTTGCTTGATCTTGCCTGCAAGTCACAGAACCGAAGACCCTGACTACTCGGCTTGAAAATGCTTGATTTCCTTTTCGGGCTTGTACACAGAAGGGCTTTGCGAATGATGGAATGGACAGGAACATGACCATCTGGGCTGTCCTGGCGACGCCCATGGCCAGTGGCATGCTCACACCGTTTGGGCCTAAGGGGGGAGCAAGACGGGCCGACACACCTTCGCGGTGGCTTTGGGGCTTCCGAGGTGGTGCACACCGTGGTTGGC